TTTGATAAAGTTCCCCATAGGAACCTGATTAAAAAGATTAAAGCACATGGGATATGAGGTAATGAGCTATCATGAATTAATGATTGATTGGCTGATAGATAAAAAAACATTAAGAATAAATGGGCCATTCCTACATTGGAATGTTGTGACCAGTAGGATACTGCAAGGATAAGTACTTGGGTCCCATGTACCCAAGAATTATGTACCTGAACCCTTAGGTCTATGTTCTGCAACATTACCCAAGGCCCTACTTTTATCACACAGTGGGCAGTTAAGGTGTTTAGCATGTTTGCCCTTATTGCTCAGAGTTTGAAAATAGGAGTTAGGACATTTTGTCGAGGTTGTACAAGATATTGGTGAGGCCTCTTGTGTGTAGTGTATTCTGGTTGCCCTGTTATAAGAAGGATGTTATTAAACTGGAGAGGATTCAGAAGAGTTTTACCAGGATGTTGCCAGGAATGGAGGGTTTGAGTTATAAGGAGAGGCTGGATAGGCTGGGACTGTTTTCACTGGAGCGTAGTAGGTTAAGCGATTTATAAAATCATAAGAAGTATAGGTAAGATAAATGGTAGGTGTCTTTTCCCTAGGGTGGGGGGTTTCAAAACTAGGGGGCATATTTTCAAGACGAGAGTGTAAAGATTTAAAAAGACACGAGGGGCAATTTTTTTGTTTACGCAGTGGTTGATCTGTGGTATGAACTTCCAGAGGAAGTGGTGAGTGCAGGTACAGTTACAACATTTAAAAGACATTTGCATAAGTACATGAATAAGAAATGCTTGAAGGGATATGTGCCAAGTGCAGGCAGGTGAGATTGGTTTAGTTTGGGATTATGATTGGCTTGGACTGAAGGGTCTGTTTTTGTGCTCTGACTTTCCGGTCTGTGAAAGATATTATTGCTGCGGTGAGAGTGCAATCAAGATACAGCAAACTTGATCCTAATATGGTGGGGCTGTCCTACGAAGAAATTGGGCACAGTCAGTCAGTATTCTCTAGACTTTCGAAGAATGACTGTTAATTTCATTGAAAATTTTAAAATACTTAACTGCATCTGCCCTGTCTAAATTTAAGATGTCGGTGAGTCTAGAACCAGGGGGCACAATTTAAAACTAAGCGGGATGCCATTTAGATCAGAGATAATGAGAAATGTTTATGCTTGACAGTTGTGAACCTTTAAAATTCTCTACCACGGAGGAATGTGGAAGCTCAGACTTGTATATGTTTACGGTAGAGATTAATAGATTTCAGATCACCAGTGGCATACATGGTTATAGCCTTTGGGTGAGTAAAAAGCATTGAAATGTTTAGTCAACCTTGATCGTACTCAATGACAAGGCAGGCTCACTGGTCTGAATGACCTACTGCTATTCCTATGTTCTTATTAGACCTAAAGGCTGACAAGTCCCTAGGACCAAATGACCTGCACCTTAGTGAGGAGATGTGGCTGCAGACAAAGTAAACGTTGGTTATAAGCTTTCAAAATTTCTTTGTTTTTGGAACGGTTCCAACAGTTTTGAAAGTAGTAAATGTGACTGCTTTATTCGGCAGAAAGGTGGGAGACAGGCAGGACATTATGGGCCAGTTAACCTAATATCATCTGTCATTGGGAAATTACTGGAATCCATTTTTGAAGAGTTAGAAAATCATAATGTCATTAGTAGAGTCACAATGGCTTTGTGAAAAGAAAACCGTCCTTATCTAATTTATAAAAAATTTTTAAGGAAGTAACAAGCAAGGTACAGGAAGGAATTGTGCAAACATGTATTTGTGTTCCAGAAGACATGTGATAAGGTGTCTATTCATCTCTAACGAGATAAAAGCCTGTTGTGTTAGTACTAGAGCATTACTGCTGATAAAATGTTGATTAGCTAATAGAAAGCTGAGAGTAAAGATAAAACAAATAAACTGAAAGAACTTCGGAAACTAGAAATCTGAAACTAAAACAGAAATTGCTGGAAAATCTCAGCAGGTCTAGAAGCATCTGTGGAGGGAAATCAGGGCTAATGTTTCGATTCCAATGACCCTTGTTTAGAACTGATGGTAGCTTGGAAAAGGAAGGTTTTTATACAGAGGATGGGGTAGAGGACAGCAGAGAGCAAACAATAGATGGAGATAGAGCCCAAAGAGAAAAAAACAGTTGGATAGGCAAAGGAGTGGTTAAAGGTCAGCCTGGGGGAATGAATAGCTGCTAATAAAGGACTATTAGTAGCTGACGATGGATAGTGTGTGGTAACAGTCTATGTGATGACAAGGCCTGGTGTGTGATGGTGGGGTAAAGGTGCTCAAGCCCTAACATTTTTGAACTCAAAGTTCAGAAGGCTACAGTGTTCCCAAGTGGAAAATGAGGTGCTGTTCTTCCAGTTTGTGCTGAGCTTTGCTGGAGCACTGCAGCAAGCCTAATAACAGAGATGTTGGCCAGGGAACAAGGTAATGTTTTGAAGTGGCAAGGAACCGGAAACTCAGGGTCTTTTTTGCTTCACAGAACACCTTCATTCTGTCCGCAATCATCAGGTCTGTGCTTCGTTTCCCCAATGTAAAGGAGACCACATTGTGAGCCGCAAATATGGTAGACTAGATTGAGTACAGTGCAAGTAAATCGCTTCTCCGGAAGGTGTATTTGGGGCCTTGGATAGTGAGGGAAAAGGATATAAATGGGCAGATGTTATACCTGTGATTGCATGGGAAAGTGCCGTGAGGCTGTGGGGATATGTTGGGATTAAGGAATAGTAGACCAGGGTGTCCCAGAGGGAATGGTCCTTGTGGAAGACTGTCAAGGGAGGTGAGGGGAATATGCGTCTGATGTTGACATTGTGCTGCAGGTGGTGGACATGGCGGCTCATGATCCTCTGGTTGTGGATGCTGGTGGGATGGTAAGTAAGGACAAGGGGACCCTAATGCTGTCGTGGGAGGGAAGAGAGTGGGGTAAGGGCCCCGAAGTGCAGGAGATTGATCGGACCTGACTGAGAGCCCTATCATCTATGGTGCTGCGGAATCCGCATTTGACATTTTGGAGGCCCTCTTGTTGAAGTTGGCATCATCAGAACAGATGAGACAGAGGAACTGGGAGAATAGGATGGAGTGTTTACAAGAAGCAGGGGGTAAGGATGTGTAGTCAAGGTAACTGTGGGAATCGGTGGGTTTGTAGTAGATGTTGGAGGCCGGTTATCCCCAGAAGTGGAAGCAAAGATGTCGTGGAAGCGAAGAGCCAGGTGGACCAGGTGAAGGTGAGAGGAGTTGAAAATTGGAAGTGAAATAGATAAACTTTCTAATTCTGGATGAGAGAGGGAAGCAGCACTGATGATGTCATCACTATACTGGAGAAAGAATTATTGTTGGGGGCTGGAGTAGGACTGGAACAAAGAATGTTCCACAAACCCCACAAAGAGGCAGGCATAACTGGGACCCATGAGGGTACCCATGGTCGTCCCTTTGACCTGAAGAAAGTGAGAGGAGTTAAGAGAAGTTGTTCAGGGGAAGGACGAACTCGGCCAGGCAGAGGAAGGTAGTGGTTGATGGGGACGGTTCAGGCCTCTTTTCCAGGAAGAAGTGGAGAATCCTGAGACCAGCCTGATGGGGGAATGGATGTGTAAAGGGACGTATAAAGTTAAAAACCTTTATTATGGCGAGTTATAACTAGTTGAAGGATCAGTGCTGGGGCCTCAACTATACGAGTAATACGGATGAAGCAACTGAGTTGGTAAATATGTTAGTGACATCAAAAAAGGTAAGAAATAAGTCAAGAGGAGATGGAAAGTCTACAAAGAGGTATAGAGTGCAAGTGGAAAGAAATTTCTCAAGTGAAATGGAATGGAATGTAGTGTATTGGTTGGAATTTAGTTGAAGCTTTTTATTGCAATATTGTGAATTGGAAGTTGCTGGCTGGGTTAATAATTATTGTCCAACCTTAACTGCACAGTTACACGGGTCAACCAAGTTGCTGTGTGTCTGGAGTCACATGTAGGCCAAATAGGATAAGGATTGAAGATTTCCATCCTTAAAGAACAATGGTTTGTAGAACTGTGGTACAGAGTGATCTGGGTGTTCTGGTAATAACCCCTAAAACAATTGTATTTGACTGTCCACTCATTAACCATATACTATGACGTTCATTGTAGTTAGTATGGAATATAAAAGGATGTTCTTGGTCAGGCCATATAAGGGCATAGTTTTGGTCCTCTTGTGTGGCAAAAAAAAAATTGCATTAGAAGCAATTCATAGAATGTTCAATCATTGCTGACATAATGCAGCTTTAATCCTTCTTGTGGTTCTAACTCAATCGCAGATATCAGCGTGAAAAGTATATAAAATAAAAACCAAAAGAACTGTGGATGCTGTAAATCAGAAACACAAACAGAAGTTGCTGGAAAAGCTCACCAGGTCTGTTAGCATCTTTGAAGAGAAATCAAAGTTAACATTTCTGGCCCAGTGATCTGAGGAAGGGTCACTGGATCTGAAATGTTAACTCTGATTTCTCTTCACAGATGCTAACAGACCTACTGAACATTTCCATGAAAAGCGATATGTTCAGAGAAAGAAAATGCTTTCTGTCTATTTCAGCCAATCTTCCAAACTCTGTAAGATGCTTTTACATTTTGCCTCACTGAATGATATAGATGTTATATTCTTGCATTGGGTAGAATCACAGAATGATTACAGCACTGAAAGAGGCTACTCAGCCAGTCATGTTTCCGGCAGTTTTCTGCAATTGGAAACGCAACTATCCCTAATTCTACCCCACCCCGCTTCGTTCTTTCCCCATGGCCTTACAATTTTTTTTGTGTTAATCAATCTCCAATTTGATCTGCCTCCATCGTATTCTCAGTTAGTGTATTCCAAATCCTAACCCCTTTCTAAGTAACATGTTCCCTTGTGTAGCAATTAGTTATTTTGCCAGACACCTTCTGTCAAAGTCCTCTGATTCTCAATGTTTCTGTCAATGGGAACAGTTTCCCTCCATCCACTGTCTAGATTCATTATGATTTTGGTTTATTCGCAATTTTCAGATTTGAAGTCTGCAACCAGTCTTTCTCCATGTGTCTCCAGTGCTGCTGGAACAAGGTAGGTAAAGTACCTTACACTAAGGAGTGGTATTGCTGTGTCAGATGGGTTGGAGTTTTCAGAATTGTCTTTTTTTCAGAAATAATATTGAAGACAGTTGGTTTTATCACATGGTTGCACTCATTTATGTACAGAAACAGAAGTTGCTGGAAAAGCTCAGCAAGCCTGGCAGCATCTGTGAAGAAAAATCAGAGTTAACGTTTCAGGCCCAGTGCCCCTTCCTCAGAACTGATGGTAGCTGGAAAAATGTCAGGATATATGCTGAAAGTAGGTAGGGGGATGGGGTAGAGAGTAAACGATAGAATAAAGGATAGATCCCGAAGAGAGAGAAGAGCAGTAGGACAGACAAAGGAGTTGATAACGATCTGGCTAGGATGGTGAATAGCTCAACTGTCCCATGTACTAGCCCCCTACCCTACACGCTAGGCCTGGTTATCACATAGCCTGCATAACACATTACATATTGTTAGAGATAGTAAGAACTGCTGATGCTGGAGTCTGTAATAACACAGTGTGGAGCTGGAGGAACACAGGACTCATCCTCGCCTCCTTGACCTGTCCGTCTTCTCTCCCAGCTATCCACTCCTCCCACCTCGCTGACCAATCCCCACCACTGCCTACCTGCTATCACCACCCCACCTACCTGCCCCAGCCTAACCCCCCGCTGTACTTATTTCAGAGCCCGATTCCCCTCCCCCATTTATGAAGAAGGGTCCCGACCCGAAACGTCAGCTTGCCTGATCCTCTGATGCTGTCTGGCCTACATATTGTTAATCACCTAACAGACCCCATGAACAGGTATTCACCCTCCTAGCCAGATTGTTATCAAGTCCTTTGTCTATCCTACTGCTCTTCTTTCTCTTTGGGCTCTATCCTTTATCCTATTGTTTACTGCCTACCTCATCCCCCTCCCTATTTTCTGCATATAAGCCAACATGTTCCCAGCTACCATCAATTCTGAGGAAGGGTCACAGGACCCGAAACGTCAGCCTCTCTGCTCCTATGATGCTGCTTGGCCTGCTGTGTTCATCCAGCCTTGCACCTTGTTGTCCCGAAAAGTTAAGTCTGGTTTTTCCCTTCACAGATGCTGCCAGACCTGCTGAGTTTTTCCAGCGACTTCTGTTTTTGTTCCTGATCTACAGCATCTGCAGTTCTTTCAGTTTTAGTTCGGCCTTCATTTATGTATTTGTTTTGATGTACAATGAAAATAACTGAATTATTTTATTATTGTATCATAATTTTCATTTCCTCTCATTTCAGGACACATGACATAGGATGAACACTGCTCATCACCTGATATCATCTGTGTTGTTGTCCCTTGTTCTGCTTACTTTTGGGTTTGAAGTCAGTGAGAACATATGTTCTACATTAGTTTCTGGAGTTCTGCACAGATCATTCTCACTACAGGACATATTTCCTAAAGTCTTTTCTGGCTGCTCTTGGACTATTGAAAACCCAGATCCAACAAAATATTCAATTTACTTAAAATTTCATAAAGTAAAGCAGATTTGCTCCCATACCTCTCTGATGGTACTGCAGTTGGATCACTACATTCCGAACCAGACCTGTAGCACGTTGGATTATATTGATTATGATGCAGTTAACTTGTGTGAAACAAGGAATTTGTTTACATTTTTACAGTTTGATAAAGATTTTGTACAATTTTGTCTGACTTCTGAATCAGTTTTGACTGAACATCTTGGGAAAAATGCAATGGAATTTCAAATCTTGGAGGTTATTTTACTCAATAATGAGAATTCTAGCCAGTTTGGCTGTGGAATATTGTGCCATTGGTTTGAAAGCTGCCTGAGCAAGAGAAGTCATTATGAACCATGTGGAATTAACTACTCAGGGTGTCCATGCCCGGACATGCATGAAAATGAGTCCGACTCATCCACGGTACTACCTTTCATCGAGAGTGAGTTCATAGCATCAAAATTACGTTCCAGAAATGTAAATGATTTTAATGTTGAAAAAGTTGCAGCAAAAGCTGGTAAGTGTGGATTGTTGTTTTCTGCAGCTTTATCATGTGATTTGATTGTAGTGCTCTAACGTGATTGAATTATTGATGGTTACTCAATGCATAGGATGAAGATGAATAATATAGATTGAGTGTAGAATGTTTGCCAGTATTCCAAAATAACTTTCCACTATTTGTTACTTTTTCCTATAATCTACATTATGGCTTCAGTAAAATGAAAATTAAGGTAAGCTAATACAATTTAATAACATTTCAGGACGAACCTGTAATTGGCCACTTAAACTTAAGATTATGATGAGGAATGTATTTTTCCTGTGGTATAGTAAAGGATATGATATTTATTTATTTTTGAGAATGCTAAAGCAGAATTATAATAGCATTAGAGGTTGATACCTATAATATACTGGGTGTAGAGCAAGACCTGTAATCCAGAGGTTAGGGCAGAGTGTTTGACTAGAGCTGAAGAGTTGAACAGTTTTTAGCTTCCAACAAGATTTTGTGGTTGTTCCATTTTATTTCCTTTTTTTCAAATATATACATTGGAAAGCAAGAGTTGTTGTAGTGTTTTTCTTTGATTCACGTCCGATGCACTTGAAGTATTTGAAATGTGACTGGCAGTTTGCAATTTTCTGTAAAGTTGCGCATGAAAAATTAAATGCATAGGCTAAATCTCAACACAGTTGTGCTAGATGGAAGTAATAGTTGGAGATAAATCTATAGATCTTACAGCCTTATTCCGTTACTGGCACATCAGAGACAATAAAAAAAGACAAAACCAAAATGTAAGATTTTGGTAGACTGTAAAGTGTAGAAATTCAAATTGGTGAAATGCAATTAGTGAACAGTCAGCCATTTTCTTTGCTTAAATCTATGGCATGAGAGACGAAAGGAAGACTCTGATGCTGTCAGCATTGGTTAGTGGAGTGGATTAAAGGTGGTTGAATAATGTTAGAATAATGAGTAGAAGGAAGGCCCAGAGGTGGTCAGCATCAGTTAGAAGAGCTCTTAGGTTTGTGTCCCCCTGTGCAAAACAACTGTCGTTTGAGAGAAATCAAAGTATGACATCACAGAAGTAGTTGGTTGCAGGTTAGCACATTCCAAGGTCGGCTAATGCTGGAGGTCACGCTAAAGCTGGGCGCAGTTACCACTATGGTGCTGTCGGGAAAGACCACTGTCTAAGGTCTTCCTGGTCGAGCATAATGAAGATCTGTTGCTTTTTGAGATATGCTTGTAACCCTAATGGGAATGTGAATAGTTCCCTTATATAATAAGAAAATGCCTTTTTGTTGCAACTGGATTGAAGCTCTAATGAGGAACATCAAAATTCTACAGTATTTTCTGCAACGTCTGTATGGTCTTGTTTTGTACTTGTATTTACTTACAGATAATTTATGAATAAAGTATATTTTTTAAATAAAAGAAGTAGTTGGCTAGTAGATGTGTTTCTTTATCTTCAAAACTCTTGCAAGTTGTTAGTGGTTGGAATATTAAATTAAGGTTTAGGAACAATAATAAAGCATTGAGAGAAAGTGTTTGTTAATTATAAAATACCAAGGAACATAAGTTAATTTCAGTTATCTTACTTTTATGTAGTAAAGTTTATTGGATTGCAAGGTTTTAGTTAAGATTTAAGTATTATATGATACATGGTACTGAGAAGAGGCATTCATTTATTGAATAATTAATTAACCATATAACTAATTAGTTCACAAGATAGATGGCACTGCAGATGATGCGCTGTGATTGTAGAATGTAGATGCCAGCGTGATCCAGGGCAAATACATATGCATAAAGTATTTGCAGTTCAAGCAGCTTCAGCTCATATTATGAGCTGTAAGCCAAATCACAGGCACTATGATATATGAATGTAGGATTTTATTCTCGTGTATTCTACAGTGAGGGAAAGCGGGAAAATACAGTGAAAAGCATTTCCACTGTCACTACGATTTGGTGCCATTTTGAATAGTTTTAAGAATAAGTAAAAAAGAAAGATATGGGCTTTCTAAGCGAACAGTCCTTTTCCAGCTCATTATCAATGACGCCTTCACCACCATCCCTACTCCACCGCCTCGCCACTGTCTACACCGGACTCAACCAAAATTGAAGTTGACTCTCTTAACGCGCGACTTTTCATCGCTGGGCTGATTCTCTTCTGCCTTCACCTTGCTGCCACCTGTGTTAACCCACCAAAGTCAGAGTCACATCTCTCACTGCAGACCCCCCCCCGATTGATGTTGCTGTGATGCCCTACTGCCATCAGTGTCGGACCCAACCAACAATGAAGTCACCAATCCTCAGATGCCATCTTTTGCCACTGGGCCTACCTCGCAGATGTTGCCTCTGCTGATGTAGCAGCTGTTGATTCCAATACTAGGTCTCATACCCGCCTCGGGAAAAGTAAGTGGGGGCTAATTTGAGTTCATGCTGGGCCCCCTCGCCGCCCACTGCCTCAAGACCTGCACTGGACCCCCCCGGCTGCCCACCAGCTCAAGATCCACGCAGAGTTTCCTTGCTGCTGCCGATACTGTCTAAGCTCAGGACAAGAGGTAAGTAAAAAGAGAAAAATGAAAAGATAAAGAAAAGAAAAACATCAGAGCAGACGAGCCCTGGCCAAGGAGCCCTACGCTGCCGCCATATAAGGGAGATGAAAATTACCTGGACACTATTCCTGACAGCAGTCACATCCTTTTGGATTAGGTCTTCTGATTTGATCACTGATCAGGAGAAGGAGGGTTTAACTAATGGTGGGACAGGTAAGAGGACCCGGAGGACATGAGAACAAGAGACCCTGCTCTGGCAATTATCCAACTAGTTTTGTGTGCTTTGAGCTTGTTTGGACAAGAATGAGAGCTGTAGGATGGATGAGCTAGCTGACCATGGCACTATGATTCAGGAAGCCAGTCAAGTGGGAGGAGCAAAAAGGAATCAAATGGTAATGGGAGGGTTGACACTGTTCTCTGCAAAAAAGAACAAGGTTGGCTTGCTTGCCAGATGCCAGGGGTCAACACATCTGCTCAAGGCTGGAGAAGAACTTGTCTTGGATGTGGAAGGATCCAATCTTTTTCCATGTGCGCATTGGCAGAATAATGAAAAAGGTTCTGCATAGCATGTATGAGGAGATGTTTTTCATTCATTCATGGGATGTGGGTGTTGCTGGTTTGGCCAGTATTGATTACCACCTTCAAGGGCTGCTTTAGATAGGTAATGTGCTTTTTTTTTCTTGAACTGCCGCACTTCATTTGTTATGGAGAGAGTTCTAGGATTTTAACTCAGCAGTACTGCAGGAGCAGCAATATTTTTCCAAGTCACAATGGAGGAATATTTGTAGGTGGTGCATTCCCATGTGTTTGCTGCCCTTATCCTTCATGCTGATTTTGGTCATGGGTTTGGAAGATCTTGTCTGAAGAGCCTTGGTTATTCTGCAGTACATCTTGATGATGATACATGTTGTTACTGACTGTCTGTGTTGAAGGGAGTGAGTGTTGTGAGTGTGGTACGAACCAAGTGGGCTGCTTTGTCCCATAAGGTGTCATACTTGTTGATGGAGCTGCACTCATCCCAGCAAGTGGGGAGTATTTTATCACATTCCTGACTTCCACCTTGTAAGGTGGTGGACAGGTTTGGAGACTTGGGAAGTGAGTTACTTATTACAGGATTCCAAGTCTTTGACTTGCTGTGTAATCACATTACTTGTAGGTCTAGTCAAGTTCCATTTCTGATCAATGGTAGTGCTGAGGATGTTCATGGTGAAGGATTCAGTGATGGTATTACCGTTAAATGACAAGGGGTTTTATTTAGATTACAAACTGAAAGAACTGCTCTGAGGAAGTGTCACCGGACCCAAAAAGTTAACTGTGGTTTTTTCTTCACAGATGCTGCCAGACTTGTTGAGCTTTTCTGTTTTTGTTATTGGTAATATTTAGATTCTCTCTTGTTGGATATGGTCATTGTCTGGCACTTGTGCGGTGCGAATGAGGAGCTTCGGCTCAAAATTGATGAGCTGGAATCCGAACTCCAAACACTGCGGCATATCAGGGAGGCGGAGAGATACCTGGATGCTGTGTTCCAGGAGGCAGTCACTAGTAGATTAACTAATTCAATTGGCGGGCAGGGACAGCAGGGTGTGACTGCGAGTGAGGCAGATAGAGGGACCCTGCAGACAGGATCACAGGGGCCGCAGACCTTGACATTGTCCACAGGTATGAGGCACTTGCTACCTGCGTGGATGAGGAACAGGGCTGCAGGAAGGATGAGTCAACTGACCATGGCACCATGGTCCAGGAGGCCATTCAAGAGGGCGGAGCTAAAAGACAGATTGTAGTTGTAGGGGATTCCATCATCAGGGGGATAGACAGTATCCTTTGCGAGCAGGATAGAGAATCCCGCATGGTGTGTTGCCTGCCCGGTGCCAGGGTGTGAAACATCTCTGACCGGCTTGAGAGGATACTAGAGAGGGAGGGGGAGGATCCAGTTGTTGTGGTCCACGTAGGTACCAACAACATAGGCAGGACTCGGAAAAAAGACCTGTTTCGGGATTATGAAAAACTAGGAACAAAATTAAAAAACAGGTCTTCAAGGGTCATAATCTCTGGATTGCTGCCTGAGCCACGTGAAAATTGGCATAGGGAGGTGAGGATCAGGGAACTAAACACATGGCTAAAAGAGTGGTGTGGGAAAGAGGGTTTCCTTTTCATGGGGCACTGGCATCAGTTCTGGGACAGGAGGGATCTATATCGCTGGGATGGATTCCACCTGAACAGGGCCGGGTCCAGTGTTCTGGCGAAAAGGGTAAACAGGGTGGTCAATAGGACTTTAAACTAGTAAGTAGGGGGGAAGGGAAGAGTAGCGTAGAGGGAGAATAACTATTAATGTAAGGCAAAGCAGCAGGTTAGCAGGTGACGAGGAAGCTTCAACTCCATTGAAAATTAGGAAAAACGTTAAAGGGAAGGAGAACTCGAGCTGTTAGTAATGGAGGTGATAGGACCCAAAAAGAAGGTGCAAAAATTGGCATA